TTTGAAATATATCATGCGAGCTGAATTACAGAGAATAGCATTCGACAGGGTGAAGGGTTGCTTCTCTAAAGAGAAGGCAGGGTTCCTGGCAAGGCAAAAGTCTGAAGGACAAGTGCCTTTAGCATCAACCAAAAGTCTTTCTTTATAAAATGACCTCAAAAAAATTGGATAGCTCTGCAGAGCCAGATAACCAATGGGATAAAATGACTTAGTGTGCTACTATTTAGTCAGCTCACATAGGAATTATCTCTGTAAGATGTGACCTATATCATTGGGACCTAGACTTGTTCCATACCTGAAAGTTTCTGATTGTCTCTGATTTTATTAGTTTATTTGTTTGTTTGGTTGGTTTTTCAGTATGGCATGTGTCTGGATTGTTTGAGAATTTCGTACATGCATATAATGTCTTGATCCAATCTAATCCCCCTCTCCATTTTTTCTCTTCCAATGTCTTCCCTATGGACTGCATACTTTTCACTCCCGACTTCATGTGCTCCTCTGTACTTCATGAAAAACTCACTGAGGCCCCTGAGTGACGCCCGTATGTGCTTGGGTGTAGCATACCTACTAGAGCACTACAGATGTATCCTTGAAGGAAACGGAGTCTCCCTCCTCCAGCAGATATCACTTGCCAATGGCTGAAGGCTAAGGGAGGAACCTCAGGAGCCCCTCCCCTGCAAATGCTGGAAATGTTTTGCTACTGCCTTTGAATATGAGTCCACAAACCAATATTGGTGCCATTCTATGTTATTTGATTTTCAAAATATTCCCACTTGGGCCTATGTCTTAACGTCCAAATTTGACTCAAAATGCCCACTAAATGAACACAGAGGAGTCTCGTTTAAATGCCCAGCCTCACAGTTTGGGAATCATTGTGCTATGTGACAGATTTCTCCCCAAACAAACACTTTGATCATTTAATGATAGGCCATGCAGGGAGCACTAATGACTAACTCCAGCATCGCGGTGAAGAGACAATGGAGGATAAAATGCCTCCGAATCCACTCATCTTTATTTATCTAAGGGGAGCACTAGTGGGGGTTGGTTTTCTTCTTTTTTTTTTAAATTAATATTATTCTGGCAGTGTCCCTTGCTTTGAAAATAAGGGAGATTTATTAAATGATGGGTGAAAGGGATTTCTCTTTTCCTTCCTAGATGTCTGTGAGAAGCAGAAGCTTGAACATCTTCCTGGGGGCTCTATAGTAAGAGAAATGACAGCATCCCACACTGTAATAGCAACCAGGAGCATACTTGCCAGTCTTCCACTGACTGTCCAGAATAATGAATGATGAATATTTACTAAAACAATGGCATGGATTTTCTTAATAGTTCTGGGTTTCATGCCCTGGTTTTTCTCTAGGAATTCTATTGATTTGAAATATTTATATCTTAGGTTCTGCTTTTATTATATAAACCACTCTTGTTTATTATTGTTTTGCGTTCTTATGAATTTTACTTTTCTTGCCTCTTGAAAATATTCTGAAAAGTTTGGTTTTTAAGTTTGTTACTTTTCCTTTCCTGATACTATTTCTTCTTACAAGCAGTTTTCTACCAAGTCATCCCCTCCTCCACCCCCACACACAACTTTCTATGTCTGCTTATTTGGGAATCTCTACTGAATTTCTCAACTTTTCATGAAAAGTAGGGGTTATTTTGTTTATCACTGAGAACAATGTACTTCCCAGATCTAATATCTAATGACTAATTATGGCTTAATAATTAATTCGTTTCTAATAATCAATGACTCCTAATTGACATTTTTAAAGGAACCATTGAAAAGTTATTGAAATTCTCCTTGTATTTACAGCTTAACAGGGTTTTCTGTAGAGAAGCTGCATGATGAAGTCCTCTTATCACTTGACATTATCTAAACTCAGAACCTACAAGAAGTTGAAGCTATTCGCAGTCCTAAGGGATACCCCTCTGGTCTTCTAGATGATAAAACACCTTTGCTTTGACATTTCTGGAGTAAGATTGATAAAAGATGCTGGAGGTCTTGATTATTAGATGTTAGTCCCCTAGTTTACAGCCATACACAACTCTTTCCTTTGCAGTAGTGGTGATTTTGAGTCTAGACTACATTCTAAGTGCTTCTGATTTGATGTTGTGGTTACATGACTATGTGTAGTGGGTTGATGTGTCTGGTAGGCTATTATTTTGGAATGATGGCTGCTATTGGCAATCATGACCTCATCATCAAGGTACCAGGTACTACACAGTAATGAGCTTCTTGGAGCTTCTATCAGTAAAATGAACAGGTGGATTTGTTAGTATTCTTCTATTTTGCTTTCTGAATTTTCTTATATGTTATTAATATTCCTTTCTCTACAATTTTGAATGTAGGTTTTATCTCCATTAGTTATTACAATGCTTTCACACGGGGTTTTTTTCTTCTGAAAAAAATCTCAGTCATGTTTACTTTTGCAAATATTATCATTGTTGTTGTTTTAGAAAGATACGAAATGTCTACATTTATTTATTTATTTAGAGCCAGTTATTTTCTTTGTTATTCCTTAGTAACTTTGTACTTGAATTTATGATAATAGTCATTCTCTATCTCTTTGGTTACCCTTCCTCTCCAACTGAAACCTTGATTATTCTAAACAAACCTCTTTCCTATGTTGTATTTGTGTGTGTGTGTGTGTGTGTGTGTTAGAGAGAGAGAGAGAGAGAGAGAGAGAGAGAGAGAGAGAGAGA